GAGAGAGAGAGAGAGAGAGAGAGAGAGAGAGAGAGAGAGAGAGAGAGAGAGAGAGAGCATTAATGAGAATCATAACTTCACTCATGACGGCAGCGGCCATAGGTATTTGTAGCAAACAGGACATGCATAACTTTATTCATGATAAGGTTCCCGAGAATTCTATTTCAAAAGCAGGGTTGCACCCCCACTGATCGCCGACACCGACCGCCGACTGTCCGGCAGCCGATTGGTCGAGGGTACCGGTCGGCGGACCACCGACTAGTTGGCTCAGAGCCTTCCACTGCGTTATTTGGAAATATCAGTTGGGGGCAGTTCTGCGCTTGCTGAGTACGGCCCGAGTCCGTGGAGAAATTTTGATTTGCGGATTTTGTGTGTGGGGGTGGTTGGGGAGGGATGGGGGCTGGAGGGGGGTGTGAGCGGTCTGGAGGGGGGAGGGTTACCTAGTTTGTGGTTCTAAGGGGCTGTTCGAGGGTTCTGAGGTGGTTGAGGGAGGGGACCGTTTTCCAGCATCTTGCAGCATCTTTCAGCATTTTGCAGCATTTTGCAGGTGTGTTTGGGTGCAGGGCTGCAGGGGTGCTAGGGATCCTGTTGGGGGATACTTGTTGACATCATTACAGACGGAAAGACGGACTCCCTGCCATCCCATGTGAGGAAAAACAAAAACAAAAACGGGATGAAGATTGAGAAGAAGAAGAAGACACACCAAGTCCACACAATAAACGCGGCAATTGCACAGAAGTGAAAATCCGAACCCATTTCCAGCCCATAGCGAACGGAGAATGCGTTCATATCGTGGTGGAATCAGACGACTACAATAATCTTAGGGGCTATTGCAAAGAAGGAAGCTCAAACCAGCAAGAAACAAGTGTCAGCGGTCGTAGTTTTGGCTGAGTCAAAGTTCCAGGGTCAAAAGTTGGTCCCACAGCCTCTGAAAAGCCGCTAGAAGCCTAAAAGTCATTAGGGCAGTAGGCCTGGGGTTGAGAGTCAAAATGAGGGGCCGAGGCCTCTAGAAGAAAAAGCAGGCCCTAGGAAAGTCGACAGTCTGGCCTAAGAAGTCATAGAGTCAAAGTTTTCTCAGGAGTCGACCACACCCACAGATCACACAGACATCCTAAGGCTCAGTGCAGTTTCCAGAAGTTTCAAAGGCCGACTGGGTCCAGGGACACACTAGCCGTAGACAGATCTTGGCTGCACATATCCGTAAACAGATCTTGGCTGCACAGATTGGGAAATCTCAGCCTTCCAAAGAGGCAACTCGAGGCAGGTCAGGCCGAAGCAACTCTACATAACATCAGCCTGGCCCAGCTCGCTCATTCATTCTGCCTTGCGCTGCCTTGAGGGTGGCGTACTATTTTCACAGGGCTATCCCTGGAGTAGGCAGACAGAAAGTGTGAGTGAGCACTAGAGATTAGTTATAGCTAGGTTAGACTGTGCCCTGCATCCATACCTTAGCAATGGAGTGAGAGAACGAGGAGGGAGGTGCCTGCATCCTGTGCAGACTGGAGAGCTTTTGGGGCTGTCTCTTATACACATCTAGATGTGTATAAGAGACAGAGATTCGGTGTCCGTTGAGATCACCTATGTCCGGGAGTTCACCGTTGTTAGTGAACTTCCCGGAAGTTGCAGTTCTGGGGTAAACGATTTCGGACAGTCTGCGAACTGAAAAAAAATTCGGACAGTTAGGAAAAAGGAAGAACAGTTTAAAACACTCGAATTTTTGAAAAAAACGTGAAATTTTGGGAATTTCAACCTAACATAGTTCGATTTTCAGAAGGCCGAAGTCCGCATTCGGAATTTCAACAATTAGGGAAAATTTTGGACCTCAACCCTAATTTTCCGCGATTTCACGGAATTTCCGATTTATGGTTCCAGAAACCGCGAATTTTCCCCCAATGCGGAAAACCGAAAAAAAAATTGCAATCCTAATTCAATACCGAATAGAATACCGAATTAAAAATAGAATTTCGCAACTTGAATCTTCGATAGCAATGCAGAACTAATTCGGAAAAAGACAATGCTAATTAAGCAATCGATTCCCTAATCAGAATTTACCCTGTGAGCAGATCCACTTGATTGGTCTGCTCCGATACCAAACTGTTATATACTAGTGAATACTTCACCAAGTATGGGCAGAACCAAAGATCAACCAATATAGGATGAGCATGTATGCAGCGGAAGTCTGAGAAATGGACTCACATAGACTGAACTCACCTAAACATCACTCAACACACAAGCAATCTTGAGATGGTGGGGTCTGAAGCCATACATAGACAATGCTTCAGGCCCCGTACAACGATACACAGATGAATGGTGGGAGGAGAGACGATGGAGGTGGGAGATATGGACAGTGCCAGATGTCACCGAGATAGAATCAAGAAGGTCACCGATATGGTAGCCCAAAATGTCACTGAACAAAATCAGAATGTCGTGGACATAAGTCACCAATGTCGGAGGTATAGAATCCTAATGTAACCGATGTCCGATCTGTGAGGCCGCCAGGTATCAATCCCAACTATCTCCAATGTCTCGAATCCGGTATGTATCACATCCTCCTACCACTGAAGTCCAATCACTGATCTCTGTCCAACTCGTATCAATAGTCTGAAGTCGGAAGAAGAAGAAGAAGAAGAAGAAGAAGAAGAAGAAGAAGAAGTCTGAAGAGGAAGAAGAAGAAGAGGAAGACCGAGAGGGGCAGAACATTGGCGGAGATGGCGAGTAGCCCTAGGCCCTACCTGATGGCGCCTTGGCTGCTGCAGGAGACGGCT